ACTGGGATATGCTGGGCCAATACCAGGCTGCACTGGGCCATCCTGTACCAGGCAATACTGGATGTAGTGGCCTGTACTGCACTATTCTGGGCTGTAGTGGGTTAAACTGGAATATGGAGGACTCGACTAGGACACGATGGGCCATACTAGGCTGTGCTGGACCATCTTGTACCAGGGTGTAGTTGGCTGTACTGAAACATGCAGGATGGTAGTGCACCATGTTAGGCTGTCCAGCACTGTACTTGAGCTGTATAGGACTGCACTGCACCGTGTGGAGCCATACAGGTCTGTCCAGGGCAATCTTGGGCCACAGTGAGTTAGACAGACAGGATTGTAACACACCATATGGGACTCTACGGGGATATAGAGGGCTGTAGTTGGCCATATGGAGCTGTACAGGAGTGTGCAGGACTCTACTGGGCCATACTGGGCTATATGGGGCTGTACTTGACTGCCCTGTGCCACTCTGGGGTGTTCAGGGCCATGGGGAGCTGTAAAGGTCTGTACTGGGCTGTGCTCAGCCATACAGGAATGTACAACACCACACAGGTCTGTGCAGTGTGGTAGTGAGCCACACTGGCCTGTAGTGGCCATACTGAGCTGTGCTTGGCCCTATGGAGCTATGCAGGGCTCTGTGGGACTCTGCTGGGCCATGTTGGCCTGTACTGGGCTGTACCTGACTGCCCTGTGCCATTCTGAGCCACAACGGGGTGTACAGGGCTGTAATGGGCCGTACGGGGCTGTGTGGGGTTTTACTGGGTCTGCAGTGTACCATAGTGGGCTGTACTGAGCCCTAGTGAGCTGTGTGGGTTTTACTGGGTTATACTGGGCTGGACATGTCCAGATGGGACTGCACTGCACCATACTGGGCCACACAGGCCTCAGCTAGGCTGCACTGGATAGTCCAGGGGTGGGAAAAGTTGTACTGGGACTCCTCCGGCGTTGTCACCCTGGGACTGGTTTCCAAAACTGGGAGTGRGGGAAACAGCTCTTGGGATGTGCCCGAGGCTTTGGCAGGGTGTGAGAGGGGTGACTGGGAGGGGTAACTGAGAGGTGCYGTGTCCCCACCCAGCCTGCCTGCACCCTGCTCCCCAGGGATTTTCCAATGATTCTCATTCCACAGAGGCTCTCCCAAATGCCCCATTTCTTTTTTTTCCACCCAGCAGCTGCATCCTCTGTGGGATCAGAGTGTGGGGGTGTCCCCGTTCTCTCTGTCACCTCCCAGCCCACCATGGGATAGAGAAATAGGGGCTCCAGTCTAGCAGTACTTGAATTTATTAGTAAACTGTTCTTTGGTAAATGATAAAAACTCAACAAGAGACCAAAGGAATGAAAACAACACCCCCGCAAAGAAAAAAAAAATCATATAATTAAACAAACCAGGCAGATGGGTAAAAAAAAAAAAAGAGTTTCCCCCCCCAAATGGGATTTTAGCGACCTACAGCAAACCCAAGAGCTGTTGGGGGAGCTCTGCAGTGATGGGGGCTCCCCCCTTGTGCTTGTTTTCAGGGAGGAGGAGCGTGGGCTGTGTGTATGGGGGTTCTACAGGGGGGGCTCATTGCAGAGCACCATCTCCAGTTCCTTGCGGTAGAGTTTGCCCCCGTCGGAGAGGTTCATGATGCTCTTCCTGTAGTTGGTGAGCTGCTGGATGTTCATCTCCTGCAAAGCAAGGGGGGCAGTGGGGGTGGGCATCCCCTTTCTCCCTGGRGAGCACCCCCAGACTGGGATTACACTCCCCCCAGCTCCAGTGCAGCTTCCCATGAGGATGCAGGGTCAGCTCCTGGASCAGCATCTTCTGCTCCCCATGGAGCACGGACACAGGAAGATGCTGCTGGCAGAGGGGAGAAGGAACCAGGGGGCTCTGGGGGTGGCATGCAAGTTCTGTCCCCACTTACTTTCTTATTCTTCTCATACAGGTCTTTCAAAAGTGCATCCAGCTCATTCTCATCAATGAATCCATTTCCATCCTGGATAGTGTGGGAGGGACATCAACAGCAGGAAGGACACAAGCCCCCCAAATCCCCTTTGGACATGGCTGAGGTGGGCAACCCCAGACCCTCACCCAGCACAGCCAGGGGTAAACCCAGTTCTCCCACCCCAAACCACAGCAGGGAATTGCCCAAACYGAAAACATGCGATTTGTGGCTATTTTTCACCAAGTTACATTTTTTTGGGGCAGTTTCCCAAAAGCCATCTCCCTACCTTGTCATAGAAGGCGAAGATGGCATTAAACTCGTCCGAGGACAGCTTCATTCCCTGAGAAGTGGCAAGGGACACCAGGGCATGAGGGAGGGGGTGGAGATACAAGCAGTGGGAATGGGTTGTTATTATCTATAGTAGTAGTATTATGTTACCTGAAACTTCAGAAGAAAGTTTTCTTGCACAGGCAAAAGTCTGAAAAGAAAGAAGGGCAGGGAAGAGCRGGAAGCAGACAGAAAAAGACACTTTCTTAAATCACAGTGATGTTTTTACATGTTTTACATGAGTAAATTAAAGAGAAAAGCAGTTTTCCCTGGAAGCTGGAGCAGGTATCTTTCCCTCCCCAGCGTTTACTTCTCGTTCCCTGTGACCTTACCGGGACATCTCGGAGAGGCCCAGCTTCCCATCGCCGTTCATGTCGAACATCCGCAGCTGTTGGGACACAAACAGTACCCTGTCACCCATCACCTCCTCCTCCCCTGTGTGCCACCCTCCTGGGGTGCTGAGACTGCCCATGGGGACACAGWGCCCCAGGTCCCACTTACAATGGTCTGCGTGTACTCCTGCAGCTTGGGCTCGTCGTAGGGCCGGTTCGCCTTCTTSAGCAGGTCCGACAAGAAGCCCTGGGAGGAGAGGGTTTTGCTGGCTGTCCCCATCTCTGTCCCAGCAGGAATGTCCCACTGGCAGGGACACTGCCCAGCCCACCCTGTGCCCACAGCCCACCTTGAGCTCGTTGGCCTCGATGTAGCCGCTGCGATCCGTGTCGTACCTGCGCCAAGCCTGTGGAGGGACCGCCGTGAGCCTTTGTGGGGGCTCATGCCCCCTGCTCCCCCCAATGTGAGTGAGTGTGTGTGTCCCCATAAACCCCTGCTTCACCCTAAAGGAGATGGGGCCACCTCACAGCTCCCACTGGTGCCACCTGCTCTCCCTCGGGGCTGGATGCTTTTGTTCAGCCCCACACCAAGRGTTCAAGTGCCTTTATCCTCATGTCAGTATGCAAGACCAGGCTTTAATATTTAATAATGTTTAATTGTGCCTCCCAATTAAACAATAGAGCCCGCTTACCCCCCCATGTCACAGGGTGCTCTTCTTTCACCTTCCACCAGGGCTCAGTTTCCAAGTACAAGCTCCCTCCCCTCCAGGATGCTGCCCATTCCCTTCCACCCCCAACTATATTTTATTCCCCATCTGCAATTTCTCTCTTATGTGSGTTCACCCCATGCAAGGGCACAGCAAGGTTGTGGGGTGGCCCAGTTAGCTTCAGCACATCCCTTGGCCACTTAGGAGCAACCATGAAGGGGAATTTAAAAAGCAGCCCCAAATCCTTGCAGCTCACCTCACCTGGAGGCTGGGATGAGGCACCCAGCTGCCCTGAGAAATCCAAGGGGTGCTGAGAATTGGGAAAACTCACCACATTCCTGCTCTCCCCTAAACCAGCACTGCCTCCCAGCACTGTGTTAATGCCAGGAGTTTTGGGGAGACCAGGGGAGGTCTGGGCCATTCAAGCTCCCCGTTGTTTTCCCATGGTGGAGCTGGACTGAATTCCCTGGGGATCCCTCAGCACAACCTGCCCCACTCACCTCCATGAACTCTGAGCTGGAGCCCACATGCTGGCGGAAACACAGCAGGAAATTCTCCTCTGTGGGCAGGATCTGGGCCAGCTGTGGGGAACACAGGCATGGTGGAATGATGGAGGAGAAACACGAGCATGCAGGGGGGACACAA